GAGCTGACACCCCGTAGGGCTCCAAAATAAAGAGATGGAGACAATTCTACCAGGAAAATGGAAACAGAGAAGAAGGTAGGAGTTGCAATACTAATTTTAGACAAAAGCAGGGGACTTTAAACCAAAACAGATCAAAGAAGACGAAAGAAAGGGGCATTACGTAATGCGTTAAAAGCGTTCAATTCGACAGAGAAGGACACTAACCATTCTAAATCATATATATCAGCTCAACACAGGAGCACGCCCAGATTCATAAAGCAAGTGCCTAGAGACCTTCAAAAGAGACTGTAGACTCCCCACAAAAATAATTTAGTGCGGGAGACTTCGGAACACTGGCCAATATGGTTGGAAACCCGCTGTTGTCTCTACTGAAAAACAAAATTTAGGCTTGCACGTACGTGGTGCGATGGGGGGCCTGTAATCCCAGCTACTCAGGAGGCAGGAGGCTAAGGCAGGAGAATTGCTTGAACCCCGGGAGGCGGATGTTGCAGTGAGCCAAGATCGTGCCACTGCACTCCAACTGGGTGACAGAGCGAGACTCTGTCTCAAAAAAGAAAAAAAAAAGTCAAGTTGCTAATTTAATAACTTGTTTTAGAAAGTTCTCAAGTTGATATTTTTTGCTCAACTAACATTAGCATAGGTAACATAACAAAGGGAACTTTTTTAACCTTAAAATGACAGTGGGATAGGGATTTGGGTAACATTTTACTTTGTGGCTCCTTAGAAGTACTGAAAAGCAAGTTAATGGAATTAATAGAATTAATATGATGGAGATTATATCTTTGCTTGTACTTCACTAATTTATCAGCTACTAAAGTTTAACCTTTTAATTGTTTAGGTGTAAATATCTGTTAGAACAGAAGGGACAAGAATATATAAACAATATTCATTTAACCCATTCACTTGAGGAGTGTCTGGTAAGTCTCATTATATAATTTATATTTTCAAATTTATATTTCAAATTATATTTTCATTATGTAATTTATATTATATCATTTGTTTATAGTTATTTCTTCATGCAAAATTCTCAGTATAGTATTATAAATCAATATATGTATACATTACATGAAAACACAAATTTTAAGTTAAAAACAAAATAATAAATGTATGATGGGCTTTAAGAGTGAGAGCTAGCCAGGCACAGTGTTTCACACCTGTAATTCTAACATTTTGAGAGGCCAAGGCGAGAGGATCACTTGAGCCCAGGAGTTTGAGATCAGCCTAGACAACATAGTGAGACCCTGTCTCTATAAAAAATTTTAAAAACCAATTAGCCAGACTTGTGGTACATGCCTGTAGTCCCAGCTACTTGGGAGGCTGAGGCAGGAGGATCACTTGAGCTCAAAAGGTCAGAGGATTCAGTGAGCCATGTTCATTCCACTGTACTCCTGCCTGAGTGAGAAAGGGAAACCCTCTCTCTTAAAAAAAAAAAAAAAAAGAGATAGAGAGAGAGAGCCTAAAAAGTGTTTCTTATTCTTTACCTGAAGTAAATTTGTGAAAAGATAATCAGGATGAATTGATTTAAATATCACTGTAGGCAAAAATGGGCTTGAAGAACTAAAATACTAAAAGTCCCTTAGCCTTCTGAAATTAGATCTTCGTATAATGTGCTTTGTACTCAAAAGTAGTTTTAAACTTTTTGCAGACATTATTTAAAATCTTAAAAATATATCTAAATTGATAGGATGGGTGCCGGGTGCAGCGGCTCACACCTGTAATCCCAGCACTTTGGGAGGCTGAGGCGGATGAATCACCTGAGGTCAGGAGTTTGAGACCAGCTTGGCCAACATCATGAAACCCCGTCTCTACTAAAAATACAAAAAATTAGCCAGGCACGATGGCGCGCGCCTGTAATCTCAGCTACTGGGGAGACTGGGGCAGGAGAATTGCTTGAACCTGGGAGGCTGAGGTTACAGTAAGCTGAGATTGTGCCACTGCACTCCAGCCTGGGCAACAAGAGTGACACTCCGTCTCAAAAATAAAAAAAAAAAATAAATAAACAAATAAATAAATAAATTGATAGGATGAACTGAGGTGGCCAAGGCATCAGTAATAGGTGGAAAGAACCCTGGACTAAAATGGGAGACTAGAGTTCCCCCAATGACTCTACCCTGAAGTCATTCGTTCTCCCTGGGCCTCAACTTCTTGTTTGTAAAATGAAGGGATTAGATTAGATATCTTATAACTTCCTTCTAGCTCCATCAGGCTATGCCTCTTGTGAATATTCATATATTGAATTGAAATAAAGCCAATTTATTTTAAATTTATGATTAATTTAACTTTTCAAATGGAAATGATTGCCTCTACCAAAAATAATTCTAACTTACAATTCCTATTTCTGTTACAGGTAAGAACTACTGAGAAAACACCATCACTAACTAGAAGAATTGGTAAATATGGTTGTTAAATTAACTATCCTTTTAATTTAACTGCTAATTTATCATACTTGTTATTTATGGGGTAGAAAGATAAGCATGTTCTTCCAAGGTCACCATGATATATTTATTTGAGATGACGTTACTATAAATTTAAGAATTTAGGCGGCTGGGCGTGGTGGCTCACGCCTGTAATCCCAGCGCTTTGGGAGGCCGAGGTAGGTGAATCACAATGTCAGGAGATCGAGACCATCCTGGCTAACATGGTGAAACTCCGTCTCTACTAAAAATTTTAAAAAAAAATTAGCTGGATGTGGTGGCGCACACCTGTAGTCCCAGGTACTTGGGAGGCTGAGGCAGGAGAATCGCTTGAACCCGGGAGGTGGAGGTTGCAGTGAGCCAAGATCGTGCCACTGCACTCAAGCCTGGCAACAGAGCGAGATTCCGTCTCCAAAAACAAAAACAAAAGCAAAAAATAATTTAATAAAGTACTTATAAATTGCAGTCAGAGGCTGGGTGCAGTGGCTGACACCTGTAATCCCAGCACTTTGGGAGGCCGAGGAGTTCAAGACCATCCTAGCCAACATGGCGAAACCCTAAAAATACAAAAATTAGCTGGGCGTGATAGTGTGCGCCTGTAGTCCCAGCTGCTCGGAAGGCTGAGGCAGGATAATCACTTGAACCTGGGCGGTGGAGGTTGCAGTCAGCTGAGATCATGTCAGTGCACTCTAGCCTGGGCAACAGGGCAAGACTCCATCTCAAAAAGAAAAGAAAAAAAATCAGTCAGACGTGTCTGTATTAAAAATGTTAGTAGGCCATCAGATAGTTTTTCCAAGTTCAGGAGGAACACTGATAGGCTACCTCATTGCCATTTCTGCTAAAATCACAAGAGAAAGGGTGAAGTGTCTTTTTGTACGTAGGGTTCCTTAAGTAAGCCAGAATTATTTCACTTTTCTACTGGTGTGCCATTACCATGATAAGCCCTAACCCATCTGCTTCTTTATCCCATACTGTCATTGTACCTTCCCCAGCTTCTTCACAGAGGTGTAAGATTTGTTTTGTTTACCTCCTGTTACTTCATGGAGAAGTAGAGGTTTTAAAACTCAAAAAGTGGGCAGAGAAAGATATTATGCTAAGGAAGGAAGATAATTGTTATCCCCACTTTTCAGATGAAGAAACAGTCGGAGAGGTTAAGTGACTTGCGCACAGTCACATTACAAATCATTAGTGGAACTAGGACGGCAAGCAAGGTCTTCTGAATCCTACATCACACTGCAGATCTCATTTTCAACTTAGGCATCATATTTCAAAAGTAGTAGAAAGTTTAATTTAGAGTATGTCTAGTGATTCCCCACTTCCTAAATTGGTAGCATCATCTATTTAGTATCTTAAGAATTACAAGGGGCTGGGTGCGGTGGCTCACGCCTGTAATCCCAGCACTTTGGGAGGCTGAGGCAGGTGGATCACCTGAGGTCAGGAGTTCGAGACCAGACTGACCAACTTGGCAAAACTCCATCTCTACTAAAAATACAAAGTTAGCCGGGCTTGGTGGTGCATGCCTGTACTTGGGAGGCTGAGGCAGGAGAATTGCTTGAATCCAGGAGGCGGTGGTTGCAGTTAGCCGAGATCGCACCATTGCACTCCAACCTGGGCAACAAGAGCGAAAACTCCATCTCAAAAAAAAAGAGAATAGAATTATAATGCAAGACAGTAATGTATAGGTATTCCTAAGTATTCTTGAGAGGGAGAGCTAGTTTAATATTATTTGATATGGGTTTTGTAATGGGCATAAACAATACAACCTAAGAAATCATTTAGTCTAGCCTATATTGTTAAAGTTACTAAGAAACAAAGATACTATAGCACTTTCTTTTTTTTTTTTTTTTTTTTTTTTTGAGACGTAGTCTCACTGTGTTGCCTGGACTAGAGTGCAGTGGCTATTCATAGGCATGATCATAGCTCATTGCAGCCTCAAACTCCTGGGCTCAAGGCATCCTCCTGTCTCAGCCTCCTGAGTAGCTAGAACTACAGATGTGTGCCACCACATCCAGCTTCTATAACATTTCTTGATAATATTCTATGGTATTTAATCATTGTTACGATGCATATTAATCTTTTTATGACTGATGAGACTCTGGTTTAGGGTTAACATTTTAAAATTGAAATATAATTCACATATAAATTTCATCCTATAAAGTGTACAATTTAGGGTTTTTTTAGTATATTCACAAGGTTGGGCAACCATTACTACTCTTTTTCTTATATATAAAAAATAATAAATTCAGCTGCATGTGGTGACTCACTCTTGTAATCCCAGCACTTTGGGAGGCCGAGGTGGGCAGATCACTTGAGGTCAGGAGTTCAAGACCAGCCTGGCCAACATGGTGAATCCCCATCTGTACTAAAAATACAAAAATTGCCAGGTGCAGTGGCTCACGCCTGTAATCCCAGCACTTTGGGAGGCCGAGGCGGGTGGATCACCTGAGGTCTGGAGTTCGAGAACAGCCTGGCCAACATGGTGAAACTCCATCTCTACTAAAAATACAAAATTAGCTGAGCATGCTGCTGCACACCTGTAATCCCAGCTACTCAGGAGTCTGAGGCAGGAGAATTGCTTGAACCTGGGAGGCAGCGGGTTGCAGTGAGCCGAGACCACGCCATTGCACTCCAGCCTGGGCAAAAAGGAGCAAAACTCTGCCTCAAAAAAAAAAAAAATACAAAAATTACTGGGGCGTGGTGGCACACACCTGTAGTCCCAGCTACTCGGGAGGCTGAGACATAAAAATTGCTTGAACCTGGGAGGCGGAGGTTTCTGTGAGCTGAGATCGTGCTACTGCACTCCAGCCTGGGTGATGGACCGAGATTCTATCTCAAAAATAAGTAAATAAATAAATAAAACATAAATTCAGCTCCATGACTACTCCTGCAGAGCAGGGCTCCTCCCTACGCAGTGAGTGGCATTACTACTATTTAATTGCAGAACACTGTCATTACCCCAACAAGAAACTCCATACTCACCCATCAACAGTCATTCTCCATTGCCCACCCTACCCCTAGGCCAAGGCAAACAGTAATCTACTTTCTGTCTCTATGGTTTTGCCTATTTTGGACATTTAATATAAATGGAATAATGTAATATGTGTCTTCAAGGTGCATCCATGTTGTAGCATATATGAGTATTTCATTCTTTTTTATTGTAGAAAAAGAGTCCATTATATAAATAATACCACATTTTGTTTATCCATTTCTCAGTTGACATTTGGCTTGTTTCTACTTTTTGACTATTATGAATGATGGTTCTACGGACATTTATGTATAAAAGTTTTTGTATAGACATGTTATATACCCAATTCTCTTGGGTATATATCCAGGGATGGAATTGCTGGGTCATGTGGTTATTCTATATTTAACCTTTTGATAAACTACCAGACAGATTTCCAAAGTGACTGCACCCTTTGACTTTCCTACCAGCAGTGTATGAGGATTTCATTTTCTCTACATTCATTATCTGTCTTATTTATCACAGCCATTCTAGTGGATGTGACATGGTATCTCATTGTGGTTTTGTTTTGCATTTCCTTGATGATTAATGATATTGAGCATCTTTTCATGTGCTTATTGTCCATTTGTAAATCTTTGTAGAAATGTCTGTTCATCTCCTTTGACTTTTTTTTTTTTTTTTTTGAGATGGAATCTTGCTCTGTTGCTTAGGCTGGAGTGCAGTGGTACGATCTCGGCTCACTGCAACCTCTGCCTCCTGGGTTCAAGTGATCCTTCTGCCTCAGCCTCCCTAGTAGCTGGGATTACAGGTGCTCACCACCACACCAGGCTAATTTTTGCATTTTTAGTAGGGACGGGGTTTTGCCATGTTAGCCAGGCTGGTCTTGAACTCCTGACCTCAGGTGATCTAACCACCTTGGCCTCCCAAAGTGCTGGGATTACAGGTGTGAGCCACCGTGCCTGGCCCATTTTTTATTTTCTTTTTTCTTTTTTTTTTGAGACAGGGTCTTGCTCAGTCACCCAGGCTGGAGTACAGTAGTACAGTCACGCTCACTGTGGCCTCGACCTCCCTGGCTCAAGCAATTCTGCTGCCTCAGTCTTCTGCATAGCTGGGACTACAGGTGTGCGCCACCACACCCAGTTAATTTTTGTATTTTTTATAGAGAGAAAGTTTCGCCATTATTGCCCTGGCTGGTCTCAAACTCCTGGAATTAAACAATCTGCCTCCCTCGGCCTCCCAAAGTGCTGGGATTACAGGTGTGATCCACTGTGCCCAGCCTTGACCGTTTTTTATTTGGGTTGTCCTTCTTTTTCTACTGAACAGTCTAGGGAGATGGGTTATCTTTTTGTTATTGAGTTAAAAGAGATCATTATATATTACAGTTCTTTTTTTTGGCCTCTTTTACTTTCTAAATGAAGATTATAGTTATTTATATATATAAGTCCCTGTCAGATTTATGATTTGCAAGTATTTTCTCCCATTCCGTGGGTTTCCTTTTTTTTTTTTCCCCAAGATGGAGTCTTGCTCTGTTGCCCAGTCTGGAGTGCAGTGGTGCGATCTCTGTTCATTGCAACCTCCGCCTCCTGGGCTCAAGCAATTCTGCCTCAGCCTCCCGAGTAGCTGGGATTACAGGTGTGCAGCACCATGGCTGGCTAATTTTTGTTGTTGTTTTTTTAGTGGAGATGGGGTTTCACCATGTTGGCCAGGCTGGTCTCAAACTCCTGACCTCATGATCCACCCACCTCAGCCTCCCAAAGTGCTGGAATTACAGGCGTGAGCCACTGCACCTGGCCACCTTTTTCACTTTCTTGTTGGCATTCTTTGAAGCATAAACGTCTTTAATTTTTTTTTTTTTTTTTTGAGACGGAGTTTTGCTCTTGTTACCCAGGCTAGAGTGCAATGGCACGATCTTGGCTTACCGCAACCTCTGCCTCCTAGGTTCAAGCAATTCTCCTGCCTCAGCCTCCTGAGTAGCTGGAATTACAGGCGTGCACCACCACGCCCGGCTAATTTTGTATTTTTAGTAGAGACAGGATTTCTCCATGTTGAGGCTGATCTCGAACTCCTGACCTCAGGTGATCCACCTGCCTTGGCCTTCCAAAGTGCTGGGATTACAGGCGTGAGCTGCTGCGCCCGGCCAAACGTTTTTAATTTTTATGAAATCCAATTTATCTGTTTTTTTGTGTGTGTTGCTCATGCTTTTAATGTCATATTTAAAAAACCATTGCCTAATCCAGGGTCACCAAGGTTTATACCTATGTTTTCTTCTAAGAGTTTTATGGTGTTATATCTTACATTCTGGTCTTTGATCCATTTTGAGTTAATTTTTGTATATGGTATGAGGTAGGGGTCCATGTCCTTCCTTTTTGTTTTTAGCAAGTTGAGTTTGAGATACCTGCAGGACATTGAAGTAGGAGGATAGTAAAACCTGTATAAATGAGAGTAAGATGGTGCTGGTAGGGGAAGTGTCTGGAAAGACCTTTTTTTTTTTTTTTTTTTGGGGAAGTGTCTGGAAAGACCTTTTTTTTTTTTTTCTTTTGAGGCGGAGTCTCACTCTATCACCTAGGCTGGAGTGCAGTGGCGCAATCTTGGCTCACTGCAACCTCCACCTCCCGGGTTCAAGGGATTCTCCTGCATCAGCCTCCCGAGCAGCTGGGACCACAGGCACATGCTACTGCACCCAGCTAATTTTTGTATTTTTAGTAGAGACAGGGTTTTTTTTGCCATGTTGGCCAGGCTGATCTTGAACTCCTGACCCCAGGTATCCACCCACCTCGGCCTCCCAAGGCTGGGATTATAGGCGTGAGCCACTGCACCTGGCTGGAAAGACCATTTTTAAGAAGGGTCGATGAGGGATTGGAAGGGAAACCCACCAACATCTCATTAGATGGGCACAAGTAAAGGAGCAACAAAACAAACTGAAAATAAAAACAAGTCAAAGATAGAAGCAAGAAAGAGCAATGTATAGTGCCTCTGGACATTTCTACTAGAATGCATCTCTAAAAACCACTCAGACTGAATCCAATCCTGCATTTTTTCTCCTGTATTGGTTAATAGTACCACAGTTCACAAGGTTACCAGTAATTTAGTGTTCCTAAGCCTTTGCTCTGTAATCCTTTACATTTAATTAATCATCAAATTTGATGGATTCCACCTTCTAATGTGCTTCAGACTTTCCCACTTACTCTGCTCTAGTTCAGGCCCTTCCTTGTTTTTCATCTGGGACAATTGTAGTAGCTCCTAACTGGTCTTTCTTCTGTATTATAACCTCCCAACAGAGTTTTCTTTTTTTTTCTTTTTTCTTTTTTTAGACGGAGTCTTGGCTTCGCAGCCCAGGCTAGAGTGCAGTGGCACGATCCTCGGCTCACTGCAACCCTGCCTCCCGGGTCCACGCCATTCTCCTGCCTCAGCCTTCCGAGTAACCGGGACTACAGCCCCATCAACTATGCTTGGCTAATTTTTTTTGTAATTTTAGTGGAGACGGGGTTCACTGTGTTAGGAAGGTCTCGATCTGCGACTTGTGAACCGCCCGCCTCGCCTCCCAAAGGGCTGGGATTACAAGCGTGAGCCACCATGCCTGGCCCAGAGTTTGTGGTTTTGTTTGTTGTGTTGTTTGTTTGAGACGGAGTCTTGATCGTCACCCAGCTGGAGTGCGGTGTGCGCGATCTGCTCCACTGCAAGCTCCGCTCCTGGGCTCACGCATTCTCCTGCCCTCAGCGCTCCGAGTAGCTGGACTACAGGCGCCAGCACCACGCCCAGCTAATTTTTTGTATTTTATTTGTAGAGACGGGGTTCACCGTGTTACCAGGCAGGTCTCATCCTCCCTGACCTTGTGATCTGCCCGTCTCGGCCGTCCCAAAGTGCTGGATTACAGGCGTGACCACCGCCGCCCAGCAGAGGTATTTTTTTTATCAAAACACACATCATTAAGTACTTTCCTACCGTAAAAAAATATAATTTTGATATTTACTAGTATAGTGTTCATTTATACTCGGAATCTCTAATATCTCTTCCTTTGCCAGCGCATCCTCTATTTAGTTTACTTATTTATTGAGTTAGATAGGTCTCGCTCTGTCGCCAAGGCTGGAGTGCCGTGGTGCAGTCTTGGCTCACTGCAGCCTTCGCCTCCCAGGCTCACAGTATCTTCCAGTCTTAGCCTGCAGAGTAGCTGGGACCACAGGCGTGTGCTGCCACACCCAGCTGATTTTTGTATTTTTTGCAGAGACAGGGTTTTGAACTCCTAGGCTCAAGCTATCTGCCCATCTTAGCCTCCTGAAATGCTGGGACTACAGATGTGAGCCACCATGCCCAGCCTTATGTTTTATTTTTATTTTTTAATAGAGACAGGGTCACACTTTGTTGACCAGGGTGGTTTCAAACAGCAGGCCTCAAAGAATCCCCCTGTCTTGGCCTCCCCAAAGTGCTGGGATTACAGGTATGAGCCACTGTACCTGGCCTCCTCTCTTTCAAAAAAACATTTATTGAGCTATAATATACATATAGTAGCCAGGTGTGGTGGCTCACGCCTGTAATTCCAGCACTTTGGGAGGTCGAGGAGGGTAGATCACAAGGTCAGGAATTTGAGACCAGCTTGGCCAATATAGTGAAACCCTGTCTCTACTAAAAATACAAAAAAGCCGGGTGTGGTGGTACATGTCTGTAATCCCAGCTACTCGAGAGGCTGAGGCAGGAGAATTGCTTGAACCTGGGAGGCAGAGGTTGCAGTGAACCGAGATCACACCATTACACTCTGGCCTGGGTGACAGAGCGAGACTCTGTCTCAAAAAAAAAAAAAAAATATATATATATATATATGTATGTATATATAATATACACACACACACACAGTAAAGTGCTTAAAGTACCCTAATCATAAGTTTTCTACTTGATGAATTTTAATGTATGTATGTTAAAATATATATTAAATAAAATATGTGTTAAATATATATTAAAATGTATCTGTTAAAATATATATATTTATCTGTGTAACTATCCCCCAGATTAAGACATAGAACATTTCCACAACCCTAGAAAGCTCTTTCATGCTCCTTCCCCATCAGTACGCACCCCCAAGTTACATTCTGGCTTCTATTACCATAGATTAATTTTGTTTATTACCATAGATTAGTTTTGGAGTTCTTATAAATGGACTCATGCAGTAGGTACTCTTGTGTCATAATGATGAATTATGATTCTGGTTTGCTCGTTATATCTATGAGATTCATCCATATTGTCTGTGGCAATAGTTTTTTTTCTTGCTGTGTAGCTTATGAATATACCACACAATCTATTCACCTGATGATGGACATTTGAGTTGTTTCCAGTTTGGGGCTATTATAAATAACACTGCTATGAATATTCTTGTGCATATCTTTGGCAGAGATATACACTCATTTTTAATACCCAAGAGTGGAATTGATGAGTCAGAGGGTATAAGTGTCCTTTCTTAGCACTTCCCTACACATGCTGTGTTCCTACTTTGAGTATCATAAAAACAGGTTTCCATTGACTTTCTTGCTTTATCCAGTCCTACCCGCTCTACTACAGAAATGAAGTTTGAGAGCTAGGAAATTGACATGTTCAGGGTTATAGACTGGGATTTCCCTAATTTCCCACCATTTTCCCCAAATAATTGCTAGTGACTCAGTAACAACATCCACTCTTTAAGTACCTTAGGTTAATTGTTAAAGAGTACAGCTAGATTCAAAAAAGTTCAGATTTTTGAAGCACTTAATCTTTTTCTTGCCTGTTTTACCTTGCATCGTTTCAAACACTACAAAATACATACTCATTGCATTTACAATTAGTTGTAAGATTCTGAAAGTGATTTTTCAGTGCCTGAATACTTCAAAAAATCTTCCCAAAGCAGCTTTGCTTTGCTGGTTTGTTTTTGTTCTTTTGCTTGCTGCTGAATTTTTTCATTTTAACTATATTTTGCTATTGAGTTGTGATAATGAAAATAATTGTTTAAATTCTATGTTCTTTTTCCTCACCAATTTTTATTTCAGATGATACCATCTTCCAAAATCCTATGGTACAAGAAGCTATACGAATGGGGTTCAGTTTCAAGGACATTAAGAAAATAATGGAGGAAAAAATTCAGATATCTGGGAGCAACTATAAATCACTTGAGGTTCTGGTTGCAGATCTAGTGAATGCTCAGAAAGACAGTACGCAAGATGAGTCAAGTCAGACTTCATTACAGAAAGGTATGCATTGCTGTTTTTAAAAAGCAAGAAAGGGCCGGATGTGGTGGCTCCCACCTGTAATCCCAGCACTTTGGGAGGCTGGGGATATGGACATTTTTTAAACATAACCTTAATGCTGTGTGTTAGTCTGCTCAAGCTGCTATAATAAAATTCCATTGACTAGGTGTCTTAAACAACAGACTTATTTCTGACAGTTTCAGAGGCTCCAAAATGAAGGTGCTGGCCGATTTCGTTATTGATGAGGGCCCTCTTCCTGCCTTGCAGATGGCTGCCTTCTCACTGTGTCCTCACATGGCATGGGTTGGGGGTGGATGGGACAAGATGGAGCAAGTACTCTGGTCTCTTTTCCTCTACTTTTAGGGACACTAATCCCATCATGGGGGTCTCATCTTCATGACCTCATCCAAACCTAATTAGTTCCCAAAGGCCTCATTTCCAAATATCATTACATTAATCATGGAAAAAAGATTAAAAATATGAATTCTACCAGCCTGGGCAACATAATGAAACTGTCTCTACAAAAAATACAAAAATTAGCCGGGCATGGTGGTGTGTGCCAGTAGTCCCAGCTACCTGGGAAGCTGAGCGGGGAAGATCACCTGAGCCAGGGAGATCAAGGCTGCAGTGAGCCATGATCATGCCACTGCACTTCAGCCTGGGCAGCTGAGCGAGATCTTGTCTCAAAATATATATATATCTCCTTTAAGGATGATGGACACTATAGTGCTTGCCAACAACATCGAAGGTTAAAGAAGAGGTTTCAAACTGAGTACACTTTTGGGTACTATACCTGTAATAGTTCTCTAAGCTCTTGACTATCCTCCCTCCAAAAAGATGAGAATTCTCCTACTGCTAAAAAACTTAAACGTTTACTTATTTTTGACACATTTAAAATCCTTGTGATCTTTAAGATATTTCAAGTGCTTTTGAAACATTATTCAGATAATTACTTAAGTTATGAAACAGTATGAACATTAATGATATTTAAAATTATATTCATTGATGTAAGAATCAATGGAAAGCTTCCAGTTTTTCCCTTATAGATGCATTTATTTAAAACTTACACAGGCTCCACTTATCTTGGTGGTGGTAAAATAAACCCTTTACTTGGTCATCTTTCTTTCTTTTTTTTATTTTTTTTAAGACGGAGTCTCACTCTGTCGCCCAGGCTGGAGTGCAGTGGTACGATCTCAGCTCACTGCAACCTCTGCCTCCCCGGCTCAAGCAATTCTCCTGCCTCACCCTTCCGAGTAGCTGGAATTACAGGCATGTGCCACCACGCCCGGCTAATTTTTTGTATCTTTAGTAGAGGCAGGGGTTCGCCCAGTTGGCCAGACTAGAATTTTTCTACTATAACAGAAATACAAGCAATTGTGTCATTTTTTTCCTGCATCTTAAACACGCGCTTAATTAAGTTTGGCCATAAGTTATTAGCTTTCAAACCTTAATGTGTCTGCAGCAGAAAGATTTAGCAGGTTGTAATAGGAAGAGATCAAGGGACTGTGCATTAGGGAGAGTGTCTTTTCTCTATCTAACAGGAGTCAGTGGGCGCTCATATTATCACTGAGACTACAAACTAGGATGTTGTGGGAAGGAGAGCCTAAGGGTTGGAATTCATTTGAACTCTCCTCAGTCTACTAAATTGAGAGGCAAGTAATTGATACAGGCTCTCTTCTCATGCTGGGACCGCTGCCTGTTTGTCTTCCCAAAAGCTGATGAGGAAAGACTGGCACTAAGAATCTTTTAATTTTATATAAAATATGGATGGGGCTAACTGAAGTGAAGCAGGTGAAGGTTATTAGAGAAGATATAACATTGTCACTTACTGAGAAATCCTAGATTTAGTGCTGTCTTTTTTTCCCAATGGCTGTGTAACAGAGAATGCCCTAGTAAAATATCTTGTAAAAATAGTACCAAATCAGTATCTTTTTTTCTTTCTTTGAAAAAATTATGTAGTGTAAAATAAAGCCGTTTATTTAGTGTACGTACTAAAGTACTTATTTTAATCTTTATATATATTACTGTGTATAATATAAAAATCAAATAACCCATATTCATTTATGTCTTTCCACATGAATCTTCTCTAATAGTAAAATGAATAACATCAGTTTATTCTAAAAGAGGCTTTAAATAATTACAAATATTAGCAAATAACATCAAAAGTTATCTAGCCTTTATTGCTCATGTGCCAGTAACCTTCTGACCTAGAAGAGGGCTTTGTGGGGAGGAGAAGGGGAAAGGCGCTGTAGAGAAGTATGTAGAATCCAGTAGTTACCTTTAAGCCAAGAGGGAAGTAATTGCCAGTGGTAAACTATTGGCCTGAGGGGAAAAGATCTATGCCCAGAATATCACCGTCTCAAGTTAGTGGCTTTATACAAGGATGAAATAATATAGGAAAAAAAATGAGATGATAGGGTATCACAAACAATCAGAACCAAAGGAACCTTAAAGATTATTTTACAACTTTTTTTCTTTTTTGAGATGGAGTTTCACTCTTGTTGCCCAGGCTGGAATGCAGTGGTGCAATCTCAGCTCACTGCAACCTCCACCTCCCGGGTTCAACCAATTCTCCTGCCTCAGCCTCCCGAGTAGCTGGGATTACAGGCATGTGCCACCACGGCCTGCTAATTTTGTATTTTTAGTAGAGATGGGGTTTATCCATGTTGGTGGACTAGTCTCCAACTTCCAACCTCAGGTGATCCTCCCGCCTCGGCCTCCTAAAGTGCTGGGATTACAGGCATGAACCACCGCACCCAGCCCATTTTATAACTTTTATGAACTTAGTGGGGAACCTGAAGTACAGATGGGCTATTGCCTAGGATCATGCCAATAGCTGGGAATAGAACTCAGATTTCCTGACTTCTGGTCCAGTGTTTTGGGGTTCGTTTCAGTTTTGTTTTTTTTTTTTTAGATTTTTAAAAATTGTGATAAAATACACATACAATTTACTATCTTAACCATTTTTAGGGTATGGTTCCATAGTGTTAAGTACATTTACATTGTTGCACAGTCAACCTCTAGAATTCTTCATCTTGCAAAACCAAAACTCTGCATCCATTAAACAGCCAGGCGTGGTGGTGCACGCCTGTAGTTACAGCTGCTTGGGAGGCTGAGGGAAGAGGATTGCTTGAGACCAGAAGTTCAAGGCTGCAATGAGCTGTGATTGCACCATTGCTCTCCAGCCTAGGATACAGAGCAAGACCCCATCTTTAAATAAAAATAAAAATAAAAAAATAATAATAATAATAAAAACATGTTCATTAAACAACTCCCCATTCCCTCTCTTCCCAACCCCTGGCAACTACCATTCTACTTTTTGTCTCTATAAATTTGACTACTCTAGGTGTCAGTATTGTTGGGTTTTTTTGTTTGTTTTTAACTCGTTGTAGCATTGCATCTAAAAGTAATGTGGAAATTACTTGTTCTCCTTTTGATTTTTTGGGCATGAAATATACACTTCATTCTGACTTTTTTTGGTGTCAATGCTTTCTTATAATATAAATCAGCTTATAGTGCCATTTCTTTACTTATATTTTTTCCTCTGCCTTGAGTACCTTTTCTCTGTCTGTATACCTAGTCCCATTCCCCACTCTATCCCCAACTCTCTGAATCTACTTTGTGAACTCATGTTTCAAGGTTCAGCTCAGAAGTCACTTCTTTCAAGTTTTCTCCCGCACCCACAGCAGAGTTAGGAGCTCCTTCTTATCTACTCCTGGTGCTGGTAGAGTTTTGTTTTGTTTTGTTTTGTTTTGTTTTTCTTGAAACAGGGTCGTGCTCTGTCGCCCAGGCTGGAGTACAGTGGCATGATCTTGGCTCACTGCAACCTCCATCTCTCAGCTTCAAGCGATTCTCCTGCCTCAGGCTCCGGAGTAGCTGGGGTTACAGGCATGTATCACCACACCCAGCTAATTTGTGTGTGCATTTTTAGTAGAGATGGGGTTTCACCATGTTGGCCAGGCTGGTCTTGAACTCCTGACCTCAAATGATCTGCCCACCTCAGCCTCCCAAAGTGCTAGGATTACAGGTGTGAGCCACCACACCTGGCTGAGCTTTTTGCTTTTTACACTATTTTGAAACTGGTTTCTGCCCTGCCCATTAGAACAGGCTTCTTGAGGGTTAAGTGCTTTATCTTCTTATCTCTGATGCATTCCATGGTTGAGCCTATAGTTTTTATTATGCCCAAGAGGGTACTTTTTAAGAAGAAAGATTAAACAATCCTTTCCTTTACCCCCTAGCCAGAGAAACCTTTCTGAAACATGGATGTGATCATATCTGTCTCTAGTTTAAAATCCTTCACTGGCTCCCAGGGCCCTTGGGATCAAGTCCAAACTCCTTTACGTGGCTTGCCTAATCTTTCATGATCAGGCACCCTTTTGTAGCCTCATCTCATGCTATTTTCTCAAATTCTGTGCCCAAGCTTTGCCTGTGCACTTGTAGGCCATGTTCTCTCTCCTTGGAGCTTGCTTATGCCATTTCCTTTGCCTAAAACACTTTTCTCCCATTGCCCTTATCCCCCAAGGCCTCCCTCTCCTAGTAAACTCCGAATTCATTCTTTAGTATCCAGTTTTAGATATAATTTCCTCCAGGAGGCCTTCGTTTATGCATGCATGCGCACACATGCACACACACCCTTCCTGTGCTCTTCATAACACATTGTAATTACCTTTGTCATCATACCATTTATACTTTCCTGTTTACTTGTCTATGAACGATTGGGGGCTTGAGGTTTATGTATTTGTTAATTGTATCCCTAGTAGAACCTAGTTAAGTGTCCAGTAAGTATTTCTTGAATAAACTATTGTTTTCCAAACATGTTTTCAGTATAGTGTTCAACAGGATATTAAAAGGATGCCATGAAAAAGGAACCCCATAGTTAAACAGGGGAATGTGTTGTACATTTCTAAGAGGGAATATAGACTGTACTGTCCTATATTGTACTGTACTGCCCTGTCATGGATGACAGTGGTTCTCAAATGCCGGTGTGCCCAACCCCAGAAATTTTAGGTTCTGTGAATGGAGCCCAGAAATCTGTTGTTTGAAAATGCCCCAGGTTATTCTCATGTGAGGCCGTATTTGGAAACTGCTGGTACATAATGATTATAAAGATGCTAAAATAAACAAATAGTTGTGGTTATAAAGATATAGTTAAAATATGTAATGCATTTGGAATAGTGCCTAGCACATACTGTTTATGTAATATTACTGTTAACTGCTGCTGCTGTTGTCATTATTGTTATATGTGACCATGAAACACATTTTTTTGTGGCATATGTATTCACATTTCACAAAACTATTTTGGGAAAGGCTGAATTAAGCAAGTACTTCAGTGCCACCTATATGCTGATGACATCCAGATCTCTATCTCTAGCCCTGACTTCTCCTGACCTCAAGATTTGACTCTTCAGTTACCTACTGGGTATTTTTATATGGGTGTCCTGAAAACACCTAAAAAATATCTGAAGATCCCAAACCTGTACCTCCTTTTATATTTCTTATTGGCATCACCATATCCTTGTCAGCCAAGCTAGCAATCTTGAAATCAACTTTAGTTTGTCTTTCTTCTTCAGCCCTCATATCCAGTCAGTCACCCAGTCCTACTTGTCCCACTTCAGAGGTGTCCCTCAAATCCATCCCTCTATTTCTGGAATTAGTTGTGACCTTTCCATATGCTGCTCCTTTTACCTAACCTTTCTTTTTCTGCCTGGCAAATTACTGCCCATGCTTAAATGTCACTCCTCCGCTTCCCTCCTCCCCCGATCCAGCCACTGCCAACCTGTGGAGCCTTCTCCAACTAGCCTGAGCAGAAGAACTTGTTTTCTCATCTTGTTCCAGAGCACTTTGTACATAACTTTATTAGAGCACTTATCACTTTGTACTTTGTGCTTAACCTCCATAGCCTCATCTTACATCCTGTCCCACTAGCATGTGAGCTATTTAAGAGCAGATGCCATGTGTGAGTCATCCTCATATCTCCTGGCACTTGTTGGGTGCTTGGCACGTAGTAGGGTTTCAATAAATATTTTCAATGAATGTAAACAACTAAGAAAGTCTAAAACCAGCATAATTCTTTTCTCTTTTTGCAGAGATTAGTACTGAAGAGCAGCTAAGGCGCCTGCAAGAGGAGAAGCTTTGCAAAATCTGTATGGATAGAAATATTGCTATCGTTTTTGTTCCTTGTGGACATCTAGTCACTTGTAAACAATGTGCTGAAGCAGTTGACAAGTGTCCCATGTGCTACACAGTCATTACTTTCAAGCAAAAAATTTTTATGTCTTAATCTAACTCTGTAGTAGGGATGTTATGTTCTTCTTATTACCCTGATTGAATGTGTGATGTGAACTGACTTTTAAGTAATCAGGATTGAATTCCATTAGCATTTGCTACCAAGTAGAAAAAAAATGTACATGGCAGTGTTTTAGTTGGCAATATAATCTTTGAATTTCTGGATTTTTCAGGGTATTAGCTGTATTATTTATCCAACTTTTTTTACTGTTATCTAATTGAAACCCTAGACTAAGAAGCATCATATTATAACTGAACACAATGTGTATTCATCGTATACTGACTTAATTTCTAAGTGTAAGTGAATTAATCATCTGGATTTTTTATTCTTTTCAGATAGGCTTAACAAATGGAGCTTTCTGTATATAAATGTGGAGATTAGAGTTAATCTCCCCAATCACATAATTTGTTTTGTGTGAAAAAGGAATAATTGTTCCATGCTGGTGGAAAGATAGAGATTATTTTTAGAGGTTGGTTGTTGTGTTTTAGGATTCTGTCCATTTTCTTTTAAAATTATAAACACGTACTTGTGCGAATAATTTTTTAAAAGTGATTTGCCATTTTTGAAAGGGTATTTAATGATAGAATACTATCAAGCCAAGATGTACTGACATGGAAAGATGTGAAAGATATATTAAGTGTAAAATGCAAGTGGCAAAACACTATGTATAGTCTGAGGCCATCAAAGTATGTATGTTTCTTATATGTATAGAACAAAAGATTTGGAAAGATAGATACCAAACTGTTAAATGTGGTTTCTCTTTGGGGGGGTTGGGGAAGGGGCCTCAGAGGGGTTTTATAGGGGCCTTTCACTTTCTATTTTTTTCATTTTGTTCTGTTTGAATTTTTTATAAGTATGTATTACTTTTGTAATCAGAATTTTTAGAAAGTATTTTACTGATTTAAAGGCTTAGGCATGTTCAAACGCCTGCAAAAGTACTTATCACTCAGCTTTAGTTTTTCTAATCCAAGAAGGCAGGGCAGTTAACCTTTTTGGTGCCAATGTGAAATGTAAATGGTTTTATGTTTTTCCTGCTTTGTGGATGAAAAATATTTCTGAGTGGTAGGTTTTTGACAGGTAGACCATGTCTTCTTATCTTGTTTCAAAATAAGTATTTCTGATTTTGTAAAATGAAATATAAAATATGTCTCAGATCTTCCAATTAATTAGTAAGGATTCATCCTTAATCCTTGCTAGTTTAAGCCTGCCTAAGTCACTTTACTAAAAGATCTTTGTTAACTCAGTATTTTAAACATCTGTCAGCTTATGTAGGTAAAAGTAGAAGTATGTTTGTACACTGCTTGTAGTTATAGTGACAGCTTTCCATGTTGAGATTCTCATATCATCTTGTATCTTAAAGTTTCATGTGAGTTTTTACCGTTAGGATGATTAAGATGTATATAGGATGAAATGTTAAATCCTCTGCCTACATTTGTGTTCTTGACTAGTAATAGTAGTAGATACTTCTGAAATCAGTGTTCTCTCAACATCCTTAAAACCTCTTGGAAATTATAAAAATATTGGCAAGAAAAGAATAGTTGTTTAAATATTTTTTGAAAAACACTTGAATAAGAATCAATAGGACATAAACTAGAAGTTTAAAAATGCTTCATAGGACGTCCAGGGTTTACATTATAAGATTCTCACAACAAACCTATTGTAGAGGTGAGTAAGGCATGTTACTACATAGAGAAAAGTTTGAGAGTAAAACTGTAAAAAATTATATTTTTGTTGTACTTTCTAAGAGAAAGAGTACTGTTATGTTCTCCTAACTTCTGTTGATTACTACTTTAAGTGATATTCATTTAAAACATTGCAAATTTATTTTATTTATTTAATTTTCTTTTTGAGATGGAGTCTTGCTTGTCACCCAGGCTGGAGTGCAGTGGCATGATCTCTGCTCACTGCAACCTCCCCCTCCTGGGTTCAAGCGATTCTCCTGCCTCAGCTTCCTGAGTAGCTGGGATTACAGGCGAGTGCCACCATACCCGACTAATTTTTGTATTTTTAGTAGAGACAGGGTTTCACCATGTTGGCCAGGCTGGTCTCAAACTCCTGACCTCAAGAGATCCGCCCACCTTGCCCTCCCAAAGTGCTGGGATTACAGGCTTGAGCCACCACACCCAGCCAAAGCATTGCAAATTTAAATGAGAGTTTTAAAAATTAAATAATGACTGCCCTGTTCCTGTTTTAGTATGTAAATCCTCAGTTCTTCACCTTTGCACTGTCTGCCACTTAGTCTGGTTATATAGTCATTAACATGAATTTGATCTGTATAGTCTAGACTATAAGTTTAAATTTAAAGTGTTCTACAAGGGAAGAAAAGTGTTAAAATTTTTTAAATATGTTTTCCAGGACACTTTAGCTCCAAGTCAGGTAGGTAGTTCAGTCTAGTTGTTAGCCAAGGACTCAAGGACTGAATTGTTTTAACATAAGGCCTTTCCTGTTCTCAGAGCCACACTTCATTAAAATTCTTCTTCTAAAGCTTGTATGTTTAGAGTTAAGCAAGACTTTTTTTCTTCCTCTCCATGAGTTGTGAAATTTAATGCACAACGCTGATGTGGCTAACAAGTTTATTTTAAGAATTGTTTAGAAATGCTGTTGCTTCAGGTTCTTAAAATCACTCAGCACTCCAACTTCTAATCAAATTTTTGGAGACTTACCAGCATTTGTCTGTGTTTGAACTATAAAAAGCACTGGATCTTTTCCATCTAATTCTGCAAAAATTGATCATTTGCAAAGTGAAAACTATAGCCGTATCCAAATCTTTTCCCCCTCCCAAGAGTTCTCCGTGTCTACATGTAGACATTCCATTTCTGTGTAAAGTTCACTCTAGGATTTCAAGTCACCACTTATTTTACATATTAGTCATGCAAAGATTCAAGTTGTTTTGTAATAAGTACTTATCTTTATTTGTAATAATTTAGTCTGCTGATCAAAAGCATTGTCTTAATTTTTGAGAAATGCTTTTAGCATTTACAAACTAAATTCCAGTTAATTAATTAATGGCTTTATATTGCCTTTCCTGCTACATTTGATTTTTTCCCCTATCCCTTTGATTATGTAGGGTAGAGTGGGTGTAGTGAGTGTATATAATGTGATTTGGCCCTGTGTATTATGATATTTTGTTATTTTTGTTATGTTATTTACATTTCAGTAGTTGTTTCTTCCGTTTCCATTTTAGTGGATAAAATTTGTATTTTGAATTATGAATGGAGACTGTCACCCCAGCATTAGTTTCACATGATATACCCTTTAAACCCGAATCATTGTTTTATTTCCTGATTACGCAGGTGTTGAATGGGGAAAGGGTCTAAGGAGGTGGGAGAAATGGGATAGTATATCGTTGAGATATACTATGGGATATATATCGTTGCCATTAGAGAAATAAGAAAATGAGAAGCAGTATTTGACATAGTTCTTTTTAGACAAATCTACTTGTTAAAAAAAGGGTAGCAGTTTATTCATCTGTGAAAGGAGAATAATACCTATCTTACCAGGTTGCAGGAGCTCAAGGAGACCATGTATGTAAAGTTCCTGCTGTAAATATGAACTCCCATCCTAACACCCTTTTACCTCTCTGTGGGTTTGTCTTGACCTGGAAATTTGGGCTAAAACTTAGAAAAAAAATTGTACATGGTAACTCTTTCAGTGATGTTTACTCGTATTTTTTGGTGTTTCTCATAGTTAAGATATAAATCGGCCGGGCGCGGTGGCTCACTCCTGTAATCCCTTGGGAGGCCAAGGCGGGCGGATCACCTGAGGTCGGGAGATTGAGACCAGCCTGACCAACATGGAGAAACCCCGTCTCTACTAAAAATACAGAATGAGCTGCGCGTGGTGGCTCATGCCCTTAATCCCAACTACTGGGGAGGCTGAGGCAGGAGATCGCTTGAACCCAGGAGGCGGAGGTTGTGGTGAGCCAGGATCGCGCCATTGCACTCCAGCCTGGGCAACAAGAGTGAATCTCCATCTCAAAAAAAAAAAAAAAAAACATATAAATCACAATAAATAAGTAGGTCAATACAAATGTTAGCTAGGCATGGTGGCACATGCCTATAGTCTCAGCTACTCTGGAGGCAGAGGCAGGAGGATCACTTGAGCCCATGAGTTTGAGGCAGGAGTGAGTTATGATTGTGCCACTGTACTCCAATCTGGGTGACAGAGTGAGACCCCATCTCTAAATAAATAGATCAAACCCCTAAAAATACTTAAATTCTTCTTAAAAAATTGAAAAGATTGTTCTTCTCAAATTTAGTTGAACTTTCTAAGAGAAACAATTGGCTTTTTCCCACTTTAATAATCATTTTCAGTTTGACTCATACAGTTAACACAATGTGAATTTCTTCCTCAGCATAACAGAATTACAGAATGACAGAGCTGGAAGTGACCTTAGAGAGTACCCAATTCTTCTCTTTCATTTTACAGGTGAGGCAACGGAGGCTCAAAGGCGATGTAATTTGTGCAAAGATTATAGCTAATTAGTAGCAGAGCCCTGACTGGGACATAGTTTGAAGATTAAAAACTTCACCAAGCTACCTTTCTTGGAGGGTCCAAATGTTTATTTTTTCAACTATTCTTTCCACTATACCATAACTTTCACTACATATTAAGTGACACTTTATAACTAGTATAATAGGACAATCATCAATGCATATATAGCCAGCCCTTCATATCTGCGGATTTTGCATCCATGGATTCAACCAAGGAGGAATTGAAAATACTGAGGGAAAAAATAAATAAATACAAAAATACAAAATAATACAAAGAAAAAGCCAAAATTGTTATACTGTTGTTAAGCAGCAGTATAACAACTATTTACATAGCATTAAGTTTGGTGTAAAAATGCAAAAAAAATGCAATTATTTTTAAACCAACCTAATATATTGTATTAGATATTAAAGTCATATAGAGATGACTTAAAGTATATGATGGCCAGCCTGGGCAAACGGCAAAACCCTGTCTCTACAAAAAATACAAAGATTAGCTGGACGTGGTGGTGTGTGCCTGTAGTCCTGGCTACTCCAGAGGCTGAGGTGGGAGTCGCTTGAGTCTGGGAGGCAGAGGCTGCATTGAGCTATGATCATGGCACTGCACTCCAGCCTGGGTGACAGTGCGAGATCTTGTCTCAGAATAAATAAAGTATGTGATGAAGATGTGCATACGTTATATGCAAATAATTTTTTTTTTATTATTTATTTAAACAGTCTCACTCTGTTGCCCAGGGTGGAGTGCAATGGGACTCACCGCAACCTCTGCCTCCCAAGCAGCTGGGACTATAGGCGTGCTCCATGGTGCCCAGCTAATTTTTTTTGTATTCTTAGTAGAGACAGGGTTTCACCTTCTCGGCCAGGCTAGTCTTGAACTTCTGACCTCAAGTGATCTGCCTCCCAAAGTGCTGTGATTACAGGCATGAGCCCGGCTTTTTGTTTTGTTTTGTTTTGTTTTTTTTTGGAGACAAGAGTCTCCCTCACCCAGGCTGGAGTGCAGTGGCGCCATCTCAGCTCACTGCAGCCTCCACCTTCTGGGTTCAAGGAATTCTCAGGCCTCAGCCACCCGAATAGCTGGAATTACAGGCGCCCGGCACCACACCCGGCTAATTTTTATATTTTTCAGTAGAGACTGGTTTCGTGGTGTTGGCCAGGCTGGTCTCGAACTCCTGATCTCAGGTGATCTGCCTGCCTCGGCCTCACAAAGTGCTGGGATTACAGGC